GAGAGATGGCATGAGCTCAAACGTTCTCCAGTTGAATGTCGACAAGACTGAGGCTCATATACTGTCCTTGAGTGGTTTAGGTCGTACCTCTCCCACCGTCTTCACTTTGTCTCCTCAAATGGTTTTTCCTCTGGCCCCGTGCGGTGTCCCTCAAGGCTCTGTCCTCGGTCCCCTCCTCTTCACCCTCTATATGCTCCCCTTTGGTGACATCATCCGCAGACATGGGGTTAACTTCCACATGTATGCGGATGACACCCAACTCTACCTTTCCTCCTCTACCCTCATCTCCATGACCACCGATGTCCTGACAGCTGCCTGTCCGACATCGAGTCCTGGACAAGAGATAACTTTCTCCAGCTCAACGTGCGCAAAACTGAGGCCCTCCTGATTGGCTCACATCAGCGCCTCCGCACCTCAGGCGCTGACAGCATCAGCATCCAAGGCTGCTCTCTCCACCTCTCAAAGCCGGTCAGGAACCTTGGGGTTCTGTTCGACCCTGAGCTGTCCTTTCTCCCCCATATCCGCGCCACAACTGGCACCGCCTTCCATCACCTCCGGAACATCGCCAGACTACGGCACTACCTCACCCCTCACGCGGCTGAAACTCTGGTCCACGCCTTTATCACCTCAAGGCTGGACTATGGGAACTCTCTTCTCGCCGGCCTTCCCGGCACCTCCCTCCACAAGCTGCAGGTCATTCAGAACTCTGCAGCTCGTGTACTGTCTCGCACCAGGACCACATCACTCCCACCCTCGCTCGCCTCCACCGGCTCCCCATCCCCCAGAGGATCGAATTCAAGATCCTCATCCTCACCTACAAGGCCATTCATGGCCTCGCTCCCTCCTACCTCTCCGACCTACTATCCCCCTACTTACCTGCCCGTACCCTCCGTTCCTCTGGCTCCTGTCTGCTCCACATCCCCCGCCCCAACCGCCCTACTATCGGTGGCCGGGCCTTCAGCCCCGAGGCTCTGGAACTCTTTCCCCCAGTGCCTTCGCCTTGCTTCCTCCCTTTCCTCCTTCAAGGCCGGTCTCAAGACCTTTCTCTTTGACCGTGCCTTCAGCTCCCCTCTCGACTCCCTACCCCCTCCTCGCTCCTTCCCTTCCCTCCCCTCACCCTGACCATTTACTCCCTGCTCGGGTCCCGACCCAACTGTACAGCGCCTTGGGACGTCCTCCCGACGTGAAAGGCGCTCAATAAATGGAATCTTGTTGTTGTTGTTGTTGTTGTTCCCGCTGGACTGCCCAGCTCTTTCCTGCACAGGCTGCAGATGAACCATATCCTCTCCCGTGCCAGGCTCCACAAGCCTATCACTCCCTTGGAGATTTTTGACCAGGAAACCAGGAGAAATTCCCTTATCCTTTTGAGTAGTATTGTGGGATCTTTTATCTTTTATTTTGCCTTTCTTATCACCCCCATTCTTGTTCAGCTCCCAGTGCCCAACCAAAATTGTGAAGTGCTTTTACAACATACAAGAGCTTGCTGGAAATTCAGGTAAATAAGATAATGATGATGAAGCAGAACAGAAACACACCATCTGCAGAATACGGATATCTGACATTGCATTGGTAGACCCTTCAACACTCTTTTGACAGCTGAAAACGTCCTGTAATATTATACTCACAGTAAATGCAGGAATTTGTTTTGGAACAGATTCTGTTGACCTTTAATTGTGCAATAATGGGGTGTACTTTGCAGCTAAATTATATACTTTTGTCAGGCCAAAAAAATCACTAGTTTTTCTGTATTTTTAATGGAACTTTTTAATGTGTCCGCTTGACTTAGTTGGTAGCACCCCCCTCCTATGTGTTAGAAGGTTGTGGGTTCAAGCCCGAAGTGGGGATTTGGAAACCATATAGAATTTACTCAAATTCAGTGCTGGGAAAGAGTTGTATTGTCAAAGGTGAGACGTTAAACCAAGGTCCTGTCTCGCTGTCCAGAAGCACATTAAAGACCCCATGGCACTATTTGAAATGCCAATAATCCTCCAAATAAAATTGGTCACTCCATGGCTGTTTGTGGGACACTGCTGTACACAAATTGGCTGCCATGTTAGCCCACAAAATACACAAGATATCCTGTGAAGTGCTTTGGGACATCTCGACAATGTGATGAGGCATTATATGAAATGTAAGAATTATTAATAATAATGATGATAAATGGAGATGGGGAAATGGGATGACGTGAAACATACAGTATACCAGTTAAAGAGAGAAACAGACTTTCACTACAAAAGGAGGTGATTCATATTCACATTCAGTTCTTTTTTTTTCTAAGTTGCTCTTCTTTATGAACACATGGTCTGACATAAATTTCCTTATAGCAAATCTCACTCTGCCCCTAGTAGTCCGCGACTGTTAAGCATTCCGGGATGCCGCCCGTCATGAAGGGTGCTATATAAGTGCAAGTTGGTGTTGTTGTTGTTGTAGTTACTAGCAGTATTAAGTTACATTTCTATTTATTAATTTCAGCCTCTCAGTCCAATCAAATTTTGCTGGAGTCTTTGGAATTTAACTTGTACTCCCAATTTGAACACGAGAGGCAAAACCTCCAGTATTTAAATTTTTTTTAATTTTAAATTTTTATCTTGTAAAATAATAAACGGAGAACGGAAAACCTTCAATTAGTTTGATTTCCCTCCAGCTGGCTGTTTCTCCTCACCACTCTGTAAAACTGTAACTCTCCATAGCTTAATCAGTCATCTCTGCTCCCCACAATTTAATCAATCTAAAAATGCCCTCCACATGGAACATTGCACCTAACCAAACAAATGTAATATTAATTCCTCCCAAATAACTTATTTTTTTAACAAAATATTTAACAGGTATCATTATTTCAGAATAACAAATTAAAGTCTCCAAGATTTCCATCTGTGTGGTGGTGTGCCATAAATAGAGGCACGCAAGACAGATGGAATTACATTCTGCCGTGTAAATATGGTGAAATGGTGTTAATTAGTGGAAGGTTCCACGCAGAGGGTAAGGAATTGTCTGAACATTGAAACAGGTGTGTGGTGTGCATGTTTTTGAGTTTGTTTTTTGGGTTGCATGTGAATTGATGAAGAACTTACAAGATTGGAATTAGTAAAGTTTCCACTAATGCTCCTCAGAGGTCTCATTTTTGGGGTGAGATGTTAAACCGAAGTCCTATCAGCCTGCTGAGATGAATGTTAAAGATCGCAAGGCATTATACGAAAAGAGATAGGAGTTTCTCCCAATGTCCTTGCCAACAACAACCCAGATAAAATTGGTCATTCATTTCTAGGCCATTTGTGCGCAAATTAGCTGGTTATCTTGGAGGCAAAGGACAACTTTAGGCTTCTCTTTTCCACCACAAACCGTCTCCTCCTTCTCACACCTTGTCCATCCTCTCCTCAAACTCCAACTATGAGGAGATGCTGGACTTGCTCGAATCCAAAATTGGGGGGATACATTCAGCCACCTCTGTCCCGTTGACAGCCACCCCCACATCATCTCTCCCTCATGACCCACCCCTCACCCATCCCCTCCTATACTCCTTTGACCCTATCTCTCCCTCCTCCCTTACCACGACTGTCCACAAACTCAAACCCACCACTTGCTCCCTTGATCCCACGATCCCATCCCCACCTCTCTCCTCATGTCCCAGCTCCACGTTCTGGTCCCTCTCCTGTCCGATGTCATCAACCTCTCCTTGTTCCAACCCCCCTAAAATCAGCTGTCATCATTCCCATCCTGAAAAAACCTTCCCTGACCCCATCCCTTCTCTCCAGCTATCGCCCCATCTCTAACTTCCCATTCCTCTCCAACGTCCTGGAACGAGTCGTCACGTCCTAGTTCCGCTCCTTTCTTTCTCGCCATTCCCTCTTTGAACCCCTCCAATCCGGCTTCTGCGCTGCCCATAGCACGGAAACAGCCCGGGTCAAAGTCAGTAATGACATTCTGAACATCTGTGATCAGGTCTCCCTCTGCCTCCTTGTCCTCCTCGACCTCTCTGCCGTCTTCGACACTGTCGACCACTCCATCCTCATACACCACCTCTCTTCTTTACTTAATCTTCGCAGACCTGCCCTTGCCTGGTTCCTATCTCTCCCACCGTCTCCACTTTGTTGCCTCCAACGGTTTCTCCTCCAGCCTTCACACTGTCATGTCTGGTGTTCCCCAGGGCTCTGTCCTTGGCCCTCTCATCTTTAATATCTATATGCTCCCCCTTGGTGACATCATCGCAGACATGGGGTCAACTTCCATATGTATGCGGATGACCCTCAACTCCTATCTTTCTGCCTCCACCCTCAACTCCAGGACCACTGCTGTCCTGACAGACTGCCTGTCGGACATCAAGTCCTGGATGAGGGCAAATTTCCTACAATTCAATGTGCACAAGACTGAGGCCCTCCTGATTGGCTCACGCCAGCGCCTCAGGACCTCAGGCTCTGGCAGCATCAACCTCCATGGTTGCACACTTCAACTCACCAGCCAGTCAGGAATAGTGGAGTCCTGTAGCTCAGTGGTTAGAGCACTCGCTCTGCAAGCAAAAGACTTGGGTTCAACTCCAGGCAGGGCGAAACCTTGGGCAAGTTTCCTTACTCAACATGCCTAATAATAATCTCTCCAAAACAAAAAAACAATAATAAATTGGTTATTTTCAATCCATGATTGTTTGTGGGACACTGCTGTGCGCAATTGGCTGCCGCGTTTCACCCACAAATATGCAGTCAATTCACTTTACAGTATATTCTGCGAAGCGCTTTGAGATGTCTAGAAGACGTGAAAAACGCTATATCAAATGCAAAGATTATTATTATTTTTATTGTTACTACAATTCACAGTAAATCCTGTTAATCATTAAATTGTATCTAACCTTTCCACATGAGATGTTTCGATGGGGATTAATGTCATGTGTAGGTCATGTATATGGAATGTAAGGATTACAATGTTTACAATCAGTGCCTCATACTGAAAAATGAGTGTGTTTTCACATGGTAAATCTGATTAGATGTATTGCTTCTTATGCTCCTCAGGTGATGTGTCACCAATCAGTATGTCCCCCATCAGTCAGTCACAGTTTATTCCTCTGGGGGAAGTTCTTTGCTTGGCCATCTCAGCAATGAACGCTTCAAGGAAACGAGTCACCCAGGAGGCTCTCATGGAACATCTAGCTACCTGCTTTCCAGGTATGTATTCAACAATAAAGATGTTTTTTTCCAGAGTTAGGAAGGTTACAGAATACAATACAGAATGTTCTCTGTAATTAATTAGTTATGTTGTATCTTTGTTTTCCTGTCTAGAAATATGTCAAGCTCAATGATATCACTGCTCTATTTGTTCACCTAAACCTAAGTTCCCAGAAAGGTGGGGGAGTGGGAGATCCTGTTACACCTTGAGTCTGAGTTTCAATCCAACCCAGACAGATGTGCCGAAAGCCTCTTTTCTGCCTGTGTAATGTATTTGGACATTCTCAACCCAATTGCTGATGGAAATCTGATTCAACAATAATTGATACTCATTAAGGGAGGTCAGGGATGGTTGAGATGGGAAATAAAAAAAGGTCTCACTGGTGCAGTGTGGTGTTGGGAGGTGAGTGTAGCGGGAATTCATCGACTTGGCTTTGCCGTCATACTACTAGAATAGCTCTGCAGAGATGGAGAAATTCTGGCATCTTCGGTGCCAGTTAAACATTGAAGGGAATAAATTGTTTCAATAGTTAGGATTTACTGGACAAGTGAGCCAGGCTGACACAAAAAACAACTTGCATTCATGAAGCGCTCTTCGTATAATGAATTGCTTTAGAAGGGCAGACTCAGTCGCGGGGAAGGGTGAAATGGCCATTGGCATGTTTGAAGAAGGGGAGGCTTTGAGGTGGGGATTAAAGACAGAGAGCGAGGGGTAGAGAGAAGGAATTCCGGAGGTTCAACGGTAGGTTCTGAAGGCTTGGCCTCCGATGGTGGTGTTGAAAGAAACCAAAAATAAGAGCAAAGGAGAAGGTGCGGCACATAAACTAAAGAGAGCATGTAGAATATGAGGCTAATGGGAACTTCATTGGAACTGTGAGCAAATAATTAAAATGAGGTGAAAATCAGATTTGTTTCCAACTCTTAAAGGTACTGTTAAGACAACTATTGGGACAGAATGGCATTGTGTTAGCAGAAAGATCAAAAACAAAACTGCTCTAATTTCATATAGAAGTCACCAAATAAATACAGCACATATACCAAAACAAGTCTGGCATGGCCTGTAAAAAGAAAGCATGGTCGAAGAGGAGGGTCTTGAGGCGGGACTTGAATAATAACAATAATAATCCTTGCGTTTGATGTAGCGCTTTTCACATCTTCTCAACGTCTCAAAGCGCTTCACAGAATAGACTGTAAAGTGAATTGACCATATATTTGTGGGCGAAAGCCTACAGTCCTTGAAGGAGGCTAAGGAGGGGGCGAGGCGGAGTGACTGGGGGATGAAATTCCAGAGGTTGGGGTCGGAGTGGCTGAAGGCTCTCCCGCCAATGGTGGGATGGGTGGGTCGGGGCACATGGAGCAGGCCAGAGCTGGCTGAGTGGAGGGAACGGGCGGGTTGGTCGGGGTTAGGACGTCGCAGAGATAGAGTGGGGCGAGGCTATGGAGGGCTTTGTAGATAAAGACCAGGATCTTGAACTGGATCCTCTGAAGGATAGGGAGCCAATGGAGTCAGGGGAGATGGGATCACAGAGTTTGGTGCGGGAGAGAACACGGGCTGTAGAGTTTTGGATTATCTGCAGCCTGTGGAGGGAGGAGTTGGGAAGGCCGACAAGCAGGGAGTTTGCGTAGTCAAGCCTGGAGGTGATGAAGGCATGAACAAGTGGCTGAGGGGTGAGGTAATGGCGGAGTCGGGGCGATGTTACGGAGGTGAGGGAAGGCAGAGCGGGTCATGGCTTGGTTGTGGGCAAGAAAAGACAATTGAGGGTCGAACAAGACACCTATTTTCCTGACTGGGTTGGTGAGTTGTGATGTGCAACCATGGAAGTTGATGCTGCTAAAGCCTGAGGTGCTGGAGGGCCTCAGTCTTGTTCACATTCAACTGTAGGAAATTTGCCCTCATCCAATTGCCTCGCAAGCAAGAGACCTGGGTTCGATTCCCAGCAGGACAAAACGTTGGGCAAGTTTCCTTACTCCACGCACCTCAGTTTACCTAGCAATAAGTAAGTACCCGGTTATTAGTCGATTGATTGATGGATCGCTTCTCCGGGGGTAATAATTCCTTTAAAAAATGGTCACTCAATCCATTTCTGTTTGTTGGGCACTACTACTGATAGGCTGCTGCATTGTGCCCACAAAATATAGTCAATTCATTTTACAGTATATTCTGTGAACTGCTTTGAGATGTATTGAAGACATGATACTGCACTATATCAAATGCAAGGATTATTATAATTATTGTTGCTTTCAGGTTGTCTGGTTTCTTGTGACATTATTTGCTGCACCCTATGTATGTGTGTGCAAAAAGCTGTCAACCACTCACAAGCATTTGTAGTGAATGCTGGGACAAAGCAAGACACTAAGAGGTCTATTGTATCTGCATGCTATGTGCAAGAAGCTGCCCAATCAGTGTTTTGAAGGATTCCTTCATCCTAAGGGGGGAAGATCAGTCAAGGTGCTCGTCGTGACCTTAACAGTGACTCCTGCTGGAGATGCACGTACGTGAAGGCATGATTGGGCTCCTAAAATCAGATAGCCTGCTGACACTCACTATCCAGGCTTACACAGAAACAATGACCAACTGTGCAAGTACTACTGATTGATTGTACCTGAGATTATGTACCACAGGAGCCAACGTGAGTCAAATGCATCCAGCAGAACAGTCGAAGGGGAGAAATTTGACAAGGGAGAAACATAACTTGATCATGTGGAAAGGTTAGATACAATTTAATGATTGCGTGAATCAAAAAATAATGGGTGAACAACGTGGACAGTCATTAATACCTAATAAAATCTAAATTTGTCTCATTCCAAAAGATTTGAATAAAGCTGTTAAGCAGAAGGATAGCCAATGAAAATTATTGAGGAAGACATGGCTGGTATGTATAAAGCTAAAATATTTTAAGCTTTAGTCAAATAGAACTGGATCAGATGAGCACTCAACTGGATCCTCAATGCGCATTTTGGGGACGAATGCACATTCACTTAACTTAAATAAATAAAACTTACCATTTATATGATATGTGAAAATAAAACTTTCACATCGGGAGGACATCTCAAAGTGCTTCACAGGATATATTGCATTTTGTAGATTAACCCAGCAGCCAAATTTGCACACCAATGTCCCACAAACAGGTCTTGAATTGAGACTTGAGGTATTGCCCCCTCCCCAGATATATCAGAGAATAATGACTAGGATATTTATGAGGATCTGTAATAGATGCAATAGATGGTGATGAAAATGAGTAATAGAATACAGTAAAGGTCTGTAAAAGGGACTGCGGAAAGCTTATGAGAAAAACATTAATCTTACCAGCTAAGAATTAAACTGAAATAAGTTAACATTGTGGTTATGCTGACTGAGCAAGAGCTAAGACAGACTACGAGGAAAACAGAAAACATTCCTAAAATAGAAAGGCAACAGGTGAAGATTATTAGCAAAAATTCCTTACAGGAACTACACTCTGTTTATGTCATTACTCTTTCACGCCCTCCAAATTAATCTTAGCCTCCTAGATGAGGAGGGAGAAACTGTTGGACTTCATGAATGCTATCAGTCTCAACCTGCTGAGTTTCATGAATGCTCTTAACACTTGTCACCTGGATCACCAGATGTGTATCTTGAGTTTTGTAGAAAACTATTCTTTGGCCAGTTTTTCTGCCTTTCCACAGATAACCAGCTGATGTTAGACAAAAGTACTGCCCAGGAGGTGTCTTACATGTTAACAAACATGCATTTAGTCGGAGATTTTCAACATGGGCATCATGGCAAAAGATCCAGTCTCTAGCATTGTAGTTATTAGGCTCTCTTAGTGTAATGTGTAATTAATTTAAGTGCTTGCACAAAAATTGAGATGCACCTGTAAAATTTATTGTAGTTTTATTGCCATAATAGGTAGCCCACCTTAAATAGGATGTTCATTTAACATCTCTATAAAGCTACAGTGTCCATAATTGCAAACAACACCCTTATCCAGTGCCTTGGGACATCTTCCTGACATGAAATGCACTATACAAATATAATTTTGTTGTTAACAGTTTTGTGACAATATGGTTCATCTGTGAACTGCCTCAGAATAACTGTTATTGTCAATTCACACCAATATTTTTGGTGTTGTTAAATTGAGAGTGGCAGTGAAAGAATTCAACAACCAGTCCATGTGGTCCACTTAGTCAACGTCAAGCACTGCTGCCTCTATGTAGCAATGTCTCTTTTAGATGATTAAATCCCAGCAGTACCCCAACAACAACTGGCATTTATATAGCACCCTTCATGCCATGTAGCATCCCGGAACACTTAACAGTGTGACCCCGAGCCAGGGGGAAGGTGATCGTAAGCACAATTAAAAAGGAAGGTTTTTAGGCGGGATTTGGAACTGGGGAGGGAGGGGGCAAGGGGATTTAGTAAGAGAGTTACAGAGCTTTGGAGCATAGTGACTGAAAAGCACAGCTGCCGGTGGTGGAGTGGAGGGGGTGAGGGACAAACAGGAGGTCGGAGCCGGCCGAGTGGAGGCAGCTAGTGGTGGAGTAGAGGTGAGTGAGTCGGCAAGGTAGGGAGGTGCGAGAGCATGAAGGGATTTGAAAACGAGAGAGAGGATCTTGAAGTTGATCCATTTGGAAATTGGGAGCCAGAGCAGCCTGGCAAGGACTGATGTGATGGGTGCACTCAGGGGTCCCCAACCTTGGATCTTGCCAACATGTGCCTAATACTCTCAGAAATTAGATAAGTGGGGTGCATGCCTTCAGAGAGAGAGTGTGTACTCCATTCCAGATGCAGGAAAATTTCTATACGTAGGTGACATATATATGTGAAACTCTGTCTGGGTTGGATCTCTGAAGCATGGTGATGCTTTTCTGCACATGTCAGACACCAGAATGACTCCCAAAACACTATATCCCTTACTGTAATTGTGTTTTTTTCAGTTCCTAGACTACAAAGTATGTAAAGATCATGGAATTACAACATCCACATTTCTCTGTTGGTGATATTTGCAGCTGAGTTCTAT